CTTAATTGGAGATGTTTTTGTTTCTTAACAAATTCAGTTACATAGAGCAGAGGCCTACTGTACCGGCCTATTGTGTATTAGGTCTAAATCAAATACGCTCGTTCGAGTATCGGTTTCAGTATCGATCACAAAATCTCAGTAATCGACTATCCCTAGGGCCAATTAGCCGAAAACCGGATGTAAACAGAGATGCACGGGTGTAACCCTCAATACCCCTGGGCAAGATGGCGCACCTTACCGTGAAATTATCTATTATACTAGCATATTATTACAGTGAAGTCCTCTTTTAACGAGTCATGAAATAACGAGAGGTCTATTATAAAGACACTATTCTAAAACCGCGGGGGGTTTTTCTTCTTTATCTTTGTACGTATAATACTGCTATAGCACAATCAGACAAACATGTGAGTCGGTTATAGCGGAATATTGCTGCTGCTGTACACAGCCAATAGGCAAATTATTATACATATGTAAACCCTCTCCAGTTGAGAAACTTGTTGGTGATCAAGCGAAACAATGAATGGGAGAGCCCACGTGTGCTATCATTGAAGGCTGGAGTGAATGAGTGGGAAGGGTGTGGCAGGCGCAGACAAGCAGAACACATTGTGTGATAGACCAGCCTAGTCTAGACTATCTAGGCCTACCATGCCTCTCACTTCTCCGATGTGGGGATGGAGAGGTCACAGTGCTGTACTATGATGGATGGAGCGGATGTGTGACGATGGCAGGGTGAGGTGTGTATTCAATGTGCGCAAGCAGACGGAACACACCACAAGGTGTGCTGGAATGGGGGACAACACAGCAGGCAAGTTAGCCTAGAGCGCTTTCTTTCTGATCGCCAGCGCTAAGCTGTCAACATCGCTAGCGCTAAAGAAAGAAACCTGATTCGATTTTTTATCAAGTAAGACCATGAGGTCATGTTGAACAAAATCATAATCAATGGAGATAACAAAAAGAAATAAACAGAACACCACACTCATAGATTAGGCTTACTTTGTTATTTCCCTTGAATTTACTACTGGATCCCGTCTAACGTGAATCCTGCTATAACAGATATTATGCACCAGTCCCCTCCCTCTTGTTATAACAGGATTCCACTGTAATAAGATTATTACAGATCTTTTGTGGGTATTATTGTCAGGGCGTTATGCCTATATCAACACAATTTAGATCATTGAGGGGATATTACTGTGGTCACACAATAAAAGGTAGAGGTTTAAAAAAAAAGCAGTATAGCAATTCTCAAATTCTGTAACAAGCATCATCAAAGGTAACACCAAAATCTTACAGATAAAAAAATTGGTTTCTGGTTGTTTTTTTCCATAATTCTTTTTTTATCTCCTGAACCATAGCTATCGGTAAATACAGGCATGAATCGTAAAGGAGGTCAGACGGAGGGGTCATGCAGTCTCGGAAAGTCAGGGCTCAATAGCTAAAATATCCGTCGTACTTACACATTTTTAGAAGAAATAAGTCATAGAAACAATGAGGGAAAGTGAAATATTTACTTCAGAAGAATCTGTCATGTAAACACCCCTGGCCAGCAAATCCTCACGCATCTTGGCAATTCCGTCTAGCGATACCCCTCTCGCAGCATCCTCGATGAAGATTGTCCGAAACCCATGCTCAACAGCATGATGGGCGGTAAAACCTACACAAAAACCAGGAGAACAATAAGAAAAGGAAAATGTACATAGCAAGACGCATCGTGAACATTCTATAACACTTGAGAAGATACTATTATTGACATAAGCTTGGGGTGAGTATTTATGCTTCAACATAAAATCAAAACCAAATCAAACAGACAAACAAATGAACAATATGACAGCAGTAATGAAAAGTCAGTTTTAATGTGAAGACCATACACACCTTAAATGGAAAGGATTTTGTTTGTTTAAGTGAAGGGAAGCAAATTGATACAATTATAGTCATTCAGTGCAGGGGAAAAGCAAGAAAGACAGGCAAAAAAAGACAGGAAAACAAAAGAAAAAGGACCCACAGTAACACTCTCCAACCACTCGATGAAAGCAATTACTACGGCTGATTTTAAAATAAAATAAAAAGGTTCTGCCATAATCAGTATTAAAGTTTTACAGACTTGATTTGATTGTCTCAAGACATAAAACAAAGGAGAATATTATGTCTAGTTAGTCTTAGTAAAGGTTTTACGGTGCTCGCAACTGCATAAGGCCATATGAGCACCAGAAGATTAAAGGTGTTACAAGAGAGTAACAAACACAAAAAAGAAGGAGGGTAGACAAAGACGATAGACGTTTGATAGGAAAAGAAGAAGCAAACCACACCAGATCACCCGCTATTATACTTTTATGTAGGCAACATTTTGTCTTACGATGCTCACAACTGCATAAGGTCATATGAGCACCAAGGGGTGGATGTCGAAAGAGAAGTCCAAACAGGGAATCAGGCTTACTCTGCTCACCTTTCTAGCCTCAACAGCACAAAGTCTGCTTCAACCATCAAAGCACCCCGGAAATAGCAGTTCACAAGAAAGTGACAAACATACAAAAGAAGTAGAGGAAAATGACGATAGGAAGGATGAGGAAAGAAAAAGCAGCAGTTCCCCCTATGTTGTTTCAGCACAGTATGAGCATGACATTGATAAATCAGCACATTCACAATTCTACTGTGCATAAGAACATGTTAATATCCCCCCTTTGAGGGAATGGCCTTAAGACACTTCAGTCAGTAGCACTGCCCTAGGGGGACAACTTTTTGTGAAGCTGAAAAAAAAAAAAGAAACAATACGGGAATGTTTTCAACTACTCAAAAGCAATTAAAAACATTATCTAAACTAAGCCTGACACAGCTGTGAGAAACATCAGGTGGAAAAAAACAAAAAACATAGTTAAGTCACAATCGCCACATAAATAATGCATGTTTTCAAATTGAAACTCTGCAAACTGAACAGATAACGTCAATGACTGCTATGATAAACAAATAATGCAAAATTTACATGACTCTGTCACTTACCCACACATACATCATATGCAAGTCCAGAAACATAGACATCTGTGACTCGATTTTCACTAAGGATAGTAGACAGCTCAGTCTTTGAAAGTTTGTCATTGTCCCAAAATGAAGAGTAGCTGTCCACATCTGGATTCATGCCCTTGTTTATGTAAAAAGCTTTCTCAGCCACCTGATGAGAATTAGCAGAGACATATTCATTTACTCGAATAATTTATAATGCATATCAGAACATCTAAATACCTTCTCATTCATTATGAAAAAAACAAAACCACAAATTTTTGCAAGTCTAAACAACAGGTGTCAACTTCAAGGCCTGTGGGCCACATCCGGGCTGGCGAACCGTTAAGTCCAGTGCACCAGAGAATTTTAGGTAGTCTGTCCTGAGAATCTCCACAACACAGAACCTTACTCCAAACACAAACAAACTTGTAGAGAAGAATAGATGCCAAACATGCAAAAATTGGCATTCCTTGATTAGCTTTTATTTTAACTTTTGTCCGTTTTAATTCATATTATTGTTTAAAAAAGGTATAGTTTTCCACTGCTCAATAAGTGTTAATTTAATTCAGCCAGTAACCTTAAATGTACTTTGAGTTTGGAATCCCTTGCAATTGAATTTTACACCCCTGGTCTTTAACAGGTGATACCTCTCCATCAAATCAGTCTACTCATTCTTTTGCTTAATTTCTCAAGTGATAAGCCACAATCCATTTTTCATTCGCAAGCTCAATTAGTACTCTGCTGGCTTATATATATATATATATATTATAAAACATAAAAATAATTCTAAAGAATGTAAGAAGACAAATAAAACTAAATGCTTAACTAATTAAAACACTTTGAAAGTAAACCAATGAAAAACAAAGCTTTGCAGAAAACCGATTTATATTCCAACTAAGAAACAGATCATTATAAAAACTGACACTTTGACCTAATACTATTATTCTTCTAATAGCAAAGCTTCCAGCTCCCTGCTTGCAAAGGAAATGCCAAATAAAAGCTTGGATATAAACGAAAAGCTAAGTCAAAAAGACAAACAGAAGATACATTTTTCCAAGAACACAAAAATCGCTTTGAGGATTAATCCAAAGCCCCGTTCTCTTTCTCAATTCTCAAAAACATTCAGCTGACCTTCAAATCCGGATGCAACTGAGCTCCCCAGCTTCCCTGAGTGCAGTGCTTCGGCCATAAGGTTTGAACACGGGGAACTCCTTTAAACTCAAACACTACAGTGTCCAGCACCTTAGCGCTTTCAGCATCAGTCTGCAATAAAAATGAAATACAATTTTTAAAAACTAAATACATTACATTTATTGAATTGATCCCTGTTTGCTTGAGAAAAGAGAAGCACATCAACGCATTAAACTGACATTTATTGCTGGAAAGAAGTTTTTAAAAAAAAGACAGGCAGAAACAAAAGAAAGAAAGAAAAGAAAAAGGACCTACCAGCGGCACATTCCAACCACCCGCTCCCCATGGGGAAATTTGGTTTACAAAAGCAAGAATAATGCATACATACAATAACAATTCATCAATGTCACATCCTACACAGTTTAAACATCAATACACAGAATCTTACAAATACACCATTGCTGGTTGCCACAGAGCAGAGCTCCTGATTTCACTACAATAATAATAATAATAATAATAACAATAATAGATTGCATTTATATAGCGCTCCATCCCATACGAGTATAAGCTCTGAGCGCCACATAATAAATAGATATATATTCTAAAGATGCAGTGACAACAAGGCTGTCGTCAATTTGTGGCTAATATAGTGACGGTCGCATGTCTAGCTTGTCAAGCTGAAAGCATGCGGGCAGCTCGTATTTCAATAATCTAATTTTCCCCAATACTGATAAAAGGCAAAAAAATGATCATATTTCTTACAATTTGATGTGCACATGTACTGACTTTTAAATACAGTCGAACCAGGGTAAAACCACCACCCATTGTCAAGGAGAAAAGTGGGCTTATAAGACAGGTGGCCATCTTAGGCAGGACTGATCAAGATGAAGAAAACAAACCATTCCCTTCTGAGATCCCAACTGAAAGTTGCAGCATTGCGGTTGTTGCTTTCGCTGGTTTGTCTTTTGTTTGCTTTTTAAAAATTTGCTGCTCATTTTGTGCAAGAGTGACAATAAAACGAAATGTGTCAGATGAGTAAGACCGAGTGCCATGTTAAAATAAACACATGCGTCACCACCATTCGACCCGGAGAACGTGTGATGCTTCTGTCGCACATTCATGTTGACATCCATTGTTACTTTGTTACTGACTGAATAAACAAGGACCACTCATCTCACTTAGGATTTGTTATGAGTTCTGAGATGGGCTTATGGGATATGGGGGATCCCACGGTTACCTCACCAGCAGTTGAAAATTTGTTACCTATTGGTCAACAGTGGGAGGGGTCAACGTCGGTTGGAGGGAACTACCTAACAACAACAACAACAGGTGATTGGATTATGACGGCTCGTCCACAACACCAGGGGCCAATGCATACTTTATGACAAAACGTAATGGAGTCACTAAGGTGGCCGTCTAAGACAGGCGTTATTGTTTGGTGTGATGGGGTTGTGTGTTGAAATATAGTGGCTATGGCTGCGTTGGACAGGTGGCTGTTTCACAAAGTGAAATTATGTAGTAAAAACGCAAGGGGGAAATGGAAAGTGGCCTTTTGTACAGGTGGCCGTCTTATAGAGGTGGCCGTCATGGCAGGTTCGACTGTTACTTTAAAACGAAAGACAAATAAGGCACGGTAAATCCTAAAAAAGACTAAATTAAATGTAGGCACTTTTACAACTCCATCACCACAATTTTGAACATCTGGGAGACAGGCTTTGACCCTGTCTATCAAGGCCAATCCAGGCTAATAAGGATACAATGATGACCCGGCAGAAAGACCAAGACACTCAACAAAAATTCTCCCCACACAGGAATCAAACTCAGTTATTTCGCATGCAATGGTAAAACACTTCATCACTTTACCATAGGTATCAGTATTGTGTAAACTAGGTCACTATTTACAATGAACATTAAGGATCACGAGTGGAAAAGTTAAGGCAGTCATAATACTTTTGAAATGAGCTTCAAACTAAGACCTCCTTTATTTAAAAGAAATCATTTCCAAGAATGGCCACCATTTTCATGGCAAGCAGTTGTAACACACATAAATGTCCAATATGACAACAGCAACCATTGAGATACATCTTCACAACAACAAAAAAAGTAATTTAAGAATAGAGACCCTTTAATAAAGAACCCCCCCCCCCCGAAAAAAAAAAATCCCCAAAAAACAAAACTACCTCATCTTCCTATACACACCTTTGAAGTAGGGTGCATGGTTCTCATCTTGACATTTTCCACAAATGAGATATGATCCTCAGGATGCCAGTCACTGGAGTAAACAACAATATCAAACAAGTCTTGATTCAACAAAGAGTTGACTACAGGAACAACCGCGGAACCATCCTGACCAGCAGCACATTTAGACAAGGATAGGGAACCAGAGATAAAGTCATTCTGAACATCCACCACGATCAATGCTCTCACTGGTCTGAGAATCTGAGGAAAAAATGAGTCCCGCATCACTGTATTGTGAGTAGGAATATTTGCTTTCCAGAAATAATATAGAAAACAATTTTTCACAATATACTTCAAAGTATTGAGGGGGCATGTTTGAGCTAAAAAAGCTGTATTCAGTCATAATGAATGAATATATTACCTTTTTCAGTCACTTCTTGTTAAAACTCACAATAACACATGGTATAAAGATATTGCCTTGACAAAAATACATTTGTAACCTGTTGGATCATTAAAATGTCCAGCTTGTCACTATTCTTTAGAATTGGGTTCTTTCTTCTTTCTCAATCTACTAAATCCACTGAACATAGGGTGAAAATCTATGTAGATCTGTTTGTTTTTTAAATGAGATCATATAAACGTTAAACTTCAGTAAACACATTTTGAGAAGATGGGACATAAGAAAAAGAGCTAAACTTTGATGCAAACCATAGATTTAAAAGAAACTCTTCAAAAACATAAAAAATAAATGGATCTGAGTATAGCTTAATTGTGTCATTGTGAAAAAGTTTAAAGGAATTTTGATCAAATTTAGCCAGCTCAAGATTGACCTGAGTTAGTTGTTTTAGATTCCAGTACAATGAAAGAATCAGAGCTACACATAGATTTTATACAAATACAGATCACATTACATTCTTACCTGTCTAATCCAATAAAACCAAGCATAACGGAACTCTTCTAGGTTAACTAGACCATCCTGGAGAAAAAAATTATGAAAACTGTATTATGTGCAAATTGACTTTAAATTAAACTACTTTTTTAATACATCCACACAATGAAAGGTGAAAATGAAACTCCCATTTCATTTGAATGAAGTAAGATAAACCTGAGTTTAACTAGCATATTTCTTGCTTCAGTAAAAGGCACCTTTAAAAACAAGTAGCTACATACACAAGAATCATTCATAAACCTGCAAGGGCATTAAATATGGATGATATTTTCCTTGCAAGATGACCATTATTCGATGTGATACACTGTAATAGTATAATAAAAGAAATAAGTTATGTATTCTCATTATAATACAAATGAGTACAATACGACATATCGATACTTTTTGCATTACTAGCCAAATTTGACAGAAATTTACACGATCAAAGCGCAAAAATCAAAACATAAAAATTACTTTCTTCTCCAAATATGCAATAAACAGTGGAGTCTGCTTAAAGTGAACAAGTTGGGACCAGAAGAAAACGTTCACTTTATCTGAGGTTCAGTTTAACCATTTTGGTAGGGTGGAGGCCTAGAAACAGTAGCTACCCGCAGTGGTGGGTCTAGGGCGGAGGTGGGGTGGGGGGACAATACAGCGGGCGAGCCTAGACTAGAGCTCTTTCTTTCTGACTGAGAATGCCGTCGTCAACGCCGTGCTGGGATTGTCTGCCGATGCCAGAGACAAAGAATTTTATTTTCACAGCATGGCGAGTGTGACACGGTCGGTCCGTTTTTCACTTTCACTCATTCTGGGCGTTCATTTTATCCGATTTCCCTATGAAACCGGTTCATTTTATCCACTATCTTTTTACTTAAACAAATAGCTTTTCAATGGGGACCACAGAATATCGTTCACTTTCACTGATTGTTCAAATAAAGCATGTTCACTTTAGGAGGCGGACTCTACTGTATGTTATTTTCCTTTTCTTTCTCTAATTTGATCAATTTCATTTTTTAAAAATAAAATGTCATATCCCATAGATCCATGTTTGATTGAGTAAAGAGAAGTGTGTTGACATAGTAAACAATTTTTTCATTATAACTTCTTTAAAAAATTTTATTCAAATCTAAATGGTTGGGAATACAAGAGGTTGTCAAATTGCTAAATCTCACCTGATTCAGGTCAATGATCGAGAAAAGAGTATCCAACTGAGACGGAATCCGAGTGTCATCTCCCTTTGCATTAAACAAATTCTTGACTAACTCTGTAAACTCTGTTTCATCAAGAAACCCATCGCTGAAACAAGATCGACATGGTTGTAGTATCTCAGAATCTCAGTGAGAAAATTTAAGTGACTCAGAAATGGACACTTCCTATCTTGCAAAATTTAAGCCAGATCAGCGGGCCAAACGCAGACATCTCAGACAAAGAGGCTAGTGCTTCAAGCTCGCAGCTTTAAGTCTTCAAGGTGTGGGGAGTGAATTTAGAATTTGTGAAAATAGTAACTTTTGTTTGCGAATTTTTTATACACAATTTCTGTTTTCTCCTTGTGAATCTTTTCTTTGCCATGCAAGCCACTAAAAATGTGGCATGAACCTGAGAGAAGCAGTACATGGATAACACTTTACAGTATACCTCGAAGGAGGGCAGTCTAGGTAAAAGAGATGGAGTAAAACATTTATTTTGAAAAGGAAGAAAGATAATAGAAAATGGAAACATTCATTAAAAGAGGGCTACGGAGAGAGGGAAACTGACAGCTAAGAAAAGGGCATAGAATGAAAAGAGTGATCAGCAAAGAAGGAAAGGACATAAAACTGACTTAGTGATCAAGACCATTGTAAAGTTGAAAGGGGAGGGGGGGCAGTAGAGAAAGAGGAACCACAAAAACAGCAGGATCCCTGATGTGGGTTTCTGTAGAAGGAAAAAGGTAAAATATTTGTGAGAGTTAAAATATATGATGAAAGGAAGAGAATTAGATGAGAAGAAAGAATGTCCAAGACAAAAACAAAGGGGTGTGTGTATATGCATTTAGCAATGGTGGCTCCAACTGTATGACTGAAATATATATGATATAATATCAATATAGTATTATACTCTTTTTAAAAAAAATAAAACCATTGCTGATGTCCAGCAACAGCCTAGCCTAGGACCTCATTCAGTAAATAAAGTAGGCGTCTGATACTGATGTAACAAAAAAGGAAAGAGCCTCCTGTTCGAATAAAATTGGTCTAAAAAAACAAAGTAACTATCCTAAGAGCAGACCTGCCTCAAATTGACTAAGCAAACTTTCAACTCATTAAAGCAAACAAAGTGTGCTGAAGACCCGAGAAAATTACGGGGTGCCCACTACGCATGGGATCGGCCGATCGCCCCAACTGCGAGACTCAGTCACCTAAAAAACAAAATGTGTTTGTTTTCAGATTCAAAAGACAGGATGAAGCTGTAGTGGGCATCCCATAGATAGTGTGAGTTAACAGTTAACAAGTCACAGTTGACAGTTGAGTAGGCATAAAAAGACAAGTCTACACAATACAACAGCAAGTCATAATTTATGAAAAAATACTCCATTATATGAAGCAGGCTATTGGAAAACGAAAGTAGCATATTCCCTCTTCTCTTTATTATCATTACATTATCTTAATCTACAGACAGCTCACCTGGGTAAGATTGTACTTTACCGGACCACCGGTCGGAACTACTTTCGCTATGGCGCCCCTGATGCCTAGTGGCCCGCTATTCTTGGTTTCCGAGCTCCCCTACTCACTCTCCTACTCAGTTTTCTACGTCCTCACTCTTCAACTGCCAGCAATCGACTGACGTCTCTTACCGGGTTTTTCAGTCATCACGACCGTGCCAGCGTGCCCTTAGACCCATGACCCTGACATCTTGAGGCTAATTGGTCAATCTAATCACGTGGTCCACTATTCTTATTTG